GGGGGCCTACGTACCTAGGCCTGGCGACTCTTGGCCCTCGAGGCGATGTTTTTCCAAACATCTCTGAGTTTCTTCGTCCTCGTAGGCCCGTGCCCCCACTTCCCGGGACTTTCCCAGGGAAAAAGGGGCTACTTAAAGGAGCCCCGATTTTTACTACATGCATCGTGTCGCCTATGCGTTAAAAATAGTTTAAGCGTGATCTGATTTAAATAAATATATATTTCTGTCAAGCAACCTTGTAATAATTATTTTTACACCACGTCACTTCCAAAGTGTTTTAATTAAAAAATTGGAGATCATCTTGATATCTGAAAATTGAAGGCAAAAGAATCGAAATGGAATACAATGTATTTCGCGTAAAATATTTTTCAATCAAATCAATAATAAAATAACGAGTGATTTCAGGTGGCTTTTTCGTTACAGCTAAGAAGAAGCGAGGTAAATCTGATTTTTCCAAAATTCGATGCACTTCTTTTATGCAATTTTTTGCGTTTAAAAACGTTCCTGCTGTTTTACCTCGATTATTTCAAATTACATTATCAATCGTAATTTCAAGTCACCTTCGACGAAAAATTACGAAACCCGAAGACAGTGTAACGCAAACTTTCATCCTTCGACATCAGCCTCCAACGAAATAATTCCCCCCGTACTCGCAGCGAAACATAATTACACTATTGAAACGCGTCGTTTCCTTCGTGCCCGCGCGGCGCTTCGACCCGCCATATTGTAAATATCATTTAAGGAAACCCGTTTCGCAGCCGATCGCGGCAAATTCGAACATCAATCGGTGGCCGTCATTAAGACGTATAATATACACGCCTACCGTGATTTTCGTGCCGTTTATTTTGCGCTCGCGCCCACCACACCGTCTCTATAAAATTGCCGCCTCTTGTAAAAACGACGAAATCGCTGTCCCCGATAGTCCGAGACCGGTGCTCCTTAACTCGGACCTGGATAAACGCGATACAATATCGGTAATGACAGCCATTAAGTGGTTTACGACGTAATGATAGCGTTGATATCGCTTCAACTTACGTTCTGACCTTTGCAGAGGCGACGACGTCCACTCTTAGTCTCGTCGACGAGATAATCGCCGGATGAAAACCAGCCATAACGTTTACACGATGGAGAGGAGAGCTCGTGGCTCTGCATCCGATTTGCATACGATATTAACGAGTCTCGCAGCCTAGTGTTGATTGAACACATCGGCCACCACGGTTTCTTTCTTCGTCCCGATGCAGTTGAAATATCAACGATCGTTCCAACGTGCAAACGAACCGCGAGTAATCGCTTCGACACGTGTGACTCTCGCCAATTGGACAGGTGGATCGTGTGTTTCGATAGTAGCCGGGAAATTATGTACGCTTGATCGAGGGTTTGTTGCATTCTAATTTGCCTTCGCTATGGCTGTCTGTTGGGGTTTTTAATGAAATGAAAATCTGTAGTGGTTGTGTGTGCAGAAATGAATCGTTTCGATCTTTTGGCGAGCGAATGAAGTGATTCTTCAGTCGATTGAACATTCTGTACGTAATAGAATGAAGAGACAGGAACGACAGGATTGCAAATTAAGTCACTTTCGAATAAGAGTTACTGCATTATGATCAAGAAAGAGTTCGATGTATCAAGACGTATGCGTGATATTGATTAGCATACTTCTTGCATTAATGACACTTACGACGACGACAAATCAAGAGAGATTGTACAAGCAAAGTAGTCGTAACATCCTGAAGCACCTGCATTTATTATACACATGTATAATTCCAACCATTTAAAGTTGAATGTCTTCGAAGTGGTTAATTTCCTGCATACGTTACTCAACATTCAGTTTCATCAGTTAAAACACCTTAGGAACCATAGGAAATCCATCATACGTTCGACAAAGTGATAGACGATTTTCAAAAATGAAACTTTCATATTCCTCACTTCACCGCTTACAATATGTACATGCAAAGGAAGATTGTCAGGCCTATTAACAGATATATCGAGAAACGTGTTATTTAAAAATTCCCCCCAAAAAAAGAACACCACCGACACCTTTTAATCCTCATTGTAACAACCAATTATTCGTCCTCGCATAAAATCCGCCTAATTGCACGACAAGCACAAAGTTGCAGTAAAACGTCCCTCGATAAACCATACACACACTCTCTCTCTCTCTCTGTGCGAGTACCTTTTTGCCTGTATCAAATTTCTCGGTGAATTTATCGCTGGCCGCGTATGCACGTATTCGCGTGGTCGAAGAATTCGAGATGTTTCTTGCGCAGAAAACAGAAACGCGCCATTTCCCAATTTACTTTCGCCGATTTATAGCGGAGTCCCTGTCGCGGATACTTTATTCTCTCCCCCGGTAATCGCATCTATCAGGCACCGCAGGCACGCCGCCACCACCACCATAGATTTATTATCCGTGGCGAGTGTCGCGTTCTCGTTAACCACCATGGGGACACACGGAGCGTTACGAAACGTCCAGGTAGAACGAGGAATAATCCGTGGTCGCCCCGAGGGATCACCTTCGAGAAAGTGATAAAAGACCGGCTGCCTGCCAATGTTGCCGCAAAAATCCTCGTAAATTGTTTCTTCTAAAAAGAACGCGAAATTATTGCCGCCGCTTCGTTTTTTCTTTCTTTTCTCTCCTTTCTTTCCTCCTTTTTCCTCCGATGGACCGCGTGCTGCGCGCCGGAGGCTCTTACGAACCAAGATACGCGTATCAATGCAAGTACATTCCCGCATTCGTTCGAGCAGGGGAGACCGACCGGTGAACTGGCAAAGAAAAATGCGTTTATGCGTTTCTGACGCGCGCGACGCGTTTTTCCGACCTCGTACCCCGCCGCTTCGACACGGACCCCTTCGAGAGATTCGTTTTCGTGTCTCTTGCGAAAATATTCGCGATCGTGGCTTGAAATGTAATAAGTACTACGTGGAGGATTTCGTGCGAGACTGTGTTGGCGAACAGTTGGGTAAAATTGATAATGCGAGTGGGCTGTCGGAGGAAGGTTTCGAGTGAAGCTTAACGCTTGACCATGCGTTGAAGTCACCGGGCTCGACGTTGGTTGGGGAAACGAAAGTAACGCTTCGCGCGGCGAAAATTGCTGTTTTCGGTGGGAAAATTGATGTGTTTAAGGCGTCTACGAGGGTGAGTGGATTTTGTGAGATTGTCTGAAGGAAATTGTGGGGGAAATTCAGTTTCCTTCGGTGCGAATTTTTCCCAGATCTTTTCTAATATTATTCCGACGATTAAACAGACTGTCGTCGTAATTGAAGACTTTAGTGCAAACACTGGTTATCTCCATTTTTGGTCAATATATATTGGTCATATATCAATATGAGACGATAAATTGTAAAAAAGTATTAATTCACAAAAAATTTAATAAGTATAACGAACTGAAAATAAATTTTTGAAAAATTGAATTTCCGATTTCTGTGAGAGTTTCTTCAATTTTCTCGCGCCAAAATCTTCAATTCTTAATAGAAATGAAATTTTCACTCACCACGGTGTCCTGACGAGAGACATCGGCGCTGTGCTTCAGCAGCAATTCGACAACTTCCAAATGTCCCTCAGAAGCCGCTCTCTGCAAAGCTGTGACGCCAGTCTGCAGCAAAATTCAAAAGAAAAACCATTTACATCGGATAAATACCATTCGATACACGTTTCCACTTGTTCGATATTTGCGACACGTCGATTTCTCGTGTCAGTATTACAAGAATTCCGCAGGATTCCGTTGACATTCTGTGCCATGAAAGATTTATCGACGCGCTTTCTTCCATTGATAAATACTGCAAACATTAACGTATGATCTTTCACGTTAGAAATGTCATGTATTTCACGATGGAACGTGTCTAAACTCCTAGAGATCCTGTATTCCAGTTTACGCTGGAATTAAACCACGCTGTTGACTTCGTGATAAACTTTTACCATGAATTATGACGGCTGGCAGTCTGTGTTTTGCTAGACTAGCTAGAAAGTTGCGTTAAAAATTCCAACAACAAGAAACTCTAGAAATTCTTTTTCCTTTCAAATTTATTCTCCTATAAATTTTAAACACCTCTGCAGGCTATTGTGGGAAAAAGTAGTCTTCGAACACGATTTTACGTATCGATTTAATGGTTTAGGTGTAAGTAAAGTCCATTATTTCAGGGAGAAGAAGATGTAAAAAGGGAGAGAGGAATAAAGTGTTCAACGTGGACACTTCAATCTCATTAAAAGCTTAACAGAGATGTGAAGACCGAGAGACTTTTCGTACGATCACAAATTAAATAATTCCACGGTGAGAGGACCGTGTGTTGTTATCTGTGTCGTTACTTCAAGGGTTCTGGATGGTCGTCGTCTACAGTCTGGGGAAAAAAGGTTCGGTAAAGATAGAGAAATTCTTAAGTAGTCCACAGACACACTGTCTACCTCTGAGAAACTGTCACGCATAAATTCTTAAGGCTGTCTCCTTCGTACGGCGTTTCACGTAACCTGGTACCGTTAAGTAGAAAATAGGAGAGAAAAAGAGGTTTGAAAGACGTTTGATCCAAGTGGTTGAATCGCGACGTGGGCGTCGAAAACGATCCCTATCTGTCGATTTAGAGACGTGTGAAATGTTAAACTGAAGATTACTGTCTCGGGTTGAAAGGACTTTGTCGATGGAATTTAGAAACGATTATTTGTAAAATTTACTAAATAATCGATTATTTACTGAAATTCATTTTTATATTTATTTTTATTTTCCAAAATATAAATATGTATATA